CCTGCCCCTCCTCTCCACACTGCACCCCTGCCCCCTCCACACTGCACCCGTCCCCTTCTCTCCACACTGCACCCCTGCCCCCTCCACACTGCATCCTGCCCCTCCTCTCCACCCCGTGCCCCTGCCCTCCTCCTCTTTGCACCACACCCCTGCCCTCCTTTCCACCCCGCTCCCCTGCCCTCCTCCTCTCAGCACCACACCCCTGCCCTCCTTTCCACCCCGCTCCCCTGCCCTCCTCCTCTCTGCACCGCACCCCTGCACTCCTCTCCACCCCGTGCCCCTGCCCTCCTCCTCTCAGCACCACACCCCTGCCCTCCTTTCCACCCCGCTCCCCTGCCCTCCTCCTCTCTGCACCGCACCCCTGCCCTCCTCTCCACCCCGCGCCCCTGCGGAGTGCTGTGCACCTCCCCCTTTGTCACAATGTTTTTCAATCGCATGAAGCAAACCATCCAATTAGAACCTCGGCCCCTGCCTCCGCCTTTGCGCACGTTTAATTAACATGCTCTTCCCGCAGCTGCTGACAAGTTCCAGAAACAGGTTGTAAAGGGTTTTTGTCTTTACCCAGCGTGGAAAATGAGCGGCGTTACATGGCGGAACATGAATAGGTTCCATCTCAGCCCCTCCCCCTCCCCCGCTCTGTGAAGAGCAGCCAGGCCGTGTGTGTGCGTGCACTGCATGTGCATGCGTGTGCATGCGTATGTGCACGCACATGTGTGGATGCACACATGTGTAGGGTGGAGTTGAAGGCAGGAGAGAGACCCCTGCTTTTTTCCCTTACCCTCCCCTCTTTCCCAAGAGCCTTTGTTCCATTGAAAGCTTCCTTCTGCCTGGCTCTCTACCAGCAGTCTCCTCCCGGCCCACTGCTCTTCCTGGTGCAAACCTTTGCCCTCTATCTGGTAAACTCCTATTCAGCCCCCAGAGCCCTGCTCTGAAGACCCTGCTCTGGGAAGCCACCTGGTCAGCACTGGCTCTCTAACCACACACCTGCCCAAGTTCAGGGTGGCCCTCCCGTGCCAGCTCCCCGCCCCCCACCCCCGACTGTGACCCTGACCTGTGCCCAGCACGGGACACCTGAAAGTCACCCACATGTAGCTGCTGGTTTGGCAGGGAGGGAGGGCCAGGCTGAGGAAGATGGTGCCTTCCCTCCCCCTCCCCCTCCCCCCTAACTGCTGGTGTGCCCAGAGCAGGCCCAGGAGGAGAGGAGGGCACCACAGGGCACTCTCCTCAAGGAAAGAGCCCAGCCCAGCGCCAGCCTGCCCGCCCCTCCCCCCAGGCTGGACTTCTCACCCCACGTGAGGGCCAGGCAGCCCCAGGCAGCCTCAAAGACTCATCCACACCATTCTAGAAAGATCATCTCCATCATTTATTCTCAGGATGTCTCGTGGGGTGCTGGCTGGGGGTGAGCAGGGGAGGGCGGCCGACAGCTAAGAGGCCTCCTCCACCCTGAGGCCCAGGCCCCACTCCTGTGCAGGACCAGGCCACCACGCCCCCAGGCTGGCAGTCCTTCCCTTGAGGACCGGCCTCTTCCTCCATCCTCAGCCTCCTGGGTGTGTGTGTGGGGACAGGCCTGCAGGCGACACCATGCTGCAGCCTTGCTTCGGGCCCCTAGGGGAAGAGAACAAGCTCCTTCCAATGCCTGGGACAGGGTGTGGGGCCTGCAGGGATAGAGGCGGGGTCTACACTGATGCCTGCCTCATTTCCTGTTTAGGATGAGCCAGACACTACCTCACAGAACGGGGGGGGGGCACAGCCTGGAAGTTCTACTGCCTAAAACCCCAATCTTTCCCCTGCCACGCACAGCACCCCACCTTGGCTCCCAGACCTCGAGATCCGCGAGCACTGGTCTCCAAGCAAGTCAAAAAGCTCTAAAAAACAAGACCAGTGGCCTGGAAAGACACCGGTCACTCCATGCGCTCTCTGGGTGGCCTCGGGGATTCCCCAGCCACTCCCTGAGCCTTGATTTCCCCTGTCTATAAAAAGAGAGAGAGAGAGAGGCCGAGCACTGTGGTGCGGGCCTGTAATTCCAGCCCTCGGGTGGCTGGGGGAGGAAGATCTCAAGTTCAAGACCAGAGGTCTTGGAGATCTCACAAGCACTGGCTCGGGGACCCCTGACTGAGCACCCACTGAGGGAAAGAAAGGAAAAGGAGTGAGTATGGCCTGAACTGGTCCATGGAGTGGCCAGGCCCATCTGCGTGGCATCTCCAGAGAAGGAAGCTGCAGGGTGGGATTCGGAGACCCCGACCCCCAGCGGGACAGCCAGCCCAGTCACCCCACCCACGGGGCTCACCTGCTGCTCACCGGCCCTGGTCAGGATGCCGAGGGTCCTGGGGATGCTGAAGGTCCCGAGGGTCCCGGAGGTGCCGGGGGCTTGAGGGTGGTGTCCTCTGGGAAGGCCCTGCTCTTCTCTTCTTCCATCTGTGGAGAGAAGAGGCCGCTCGGCCAGTCCCACAGTCCCAGGTGGGACTGACCGCCACCACCACCCCATCCCCCCCTCCTTAGGCTGCAAGGCCAGGGGCTACAAACGGCGGGCGATCAGCGCCCCCTCGTGGTCAGCGCACACATCGCTGACCCAGGTGCTGGGATCCAGCAAGAACCAGACTTATCAGCAGGCTGGCGGTGGACTTGGGGGAAGGGGTTTGGAGGTGGGTGCTGAACCCAGTTGTTGTTTTGTTTTTTGTCGGACTTGGGGCCCGAACTCTGGAACTCTGGGTCAGGGCAAGGCTAGCGCTCTACCACTTGAGCCACAGCGCCACTTCAGGCTTTTTCTGCTTATGTGGTGCTGAGGAATCGAACCCAGGAGGCGAGCACTCTACCCCTGAGCCACCTTCCCAGCCCTGAACCCAGTTTTGGAAGCTGAGGCGTGAGAGGCAGCTGTGGACAGGTCCAAGCGTGGGATGGGGGACAGAGGCTGGGCAGCTGAGCCCCGCCTTGGCCTCTCACGGTCATCTGTCCTGAGCTCCATCCTCCGGTGAACAGGGACTGCCCGAGGCTCCGGCCGGCCTCTGTCCCTGCAGAACTTTACTGCTCTAAACCGCACGTGGGAGCCATGGTGTGAACTTGGAGGGAAGGACGGAGCTGGAAACAGAAGCAGGAGTGGGAAGCACTAACAGTTCTGACTGTTGGCCGGTGCTAAGCAAACCCACGGGGGTGTCTGGGTAGCTCCTGTGCCGACTTTACCAGTAGGAGGAAAAGAACTGTGCTCCGAAAGAAGAAAGTTTATTAAAGATGTCAGAGCCCTGGGCCAATCTTAGGCTACGGAGGTAAAAAGAAAGAGATATCTCAACAGAGTAAGAAAAAGCTGTGTAGGCAGAGAAAAAGACAGAAAATGTACCACAAACATTAAGTGTTTGAATTTGGGTGGTGGGCGTTTTCTTCCTTCTTTCCCTTCCCTCCTTCCCTCCCTCCCTCCCTCCCTTCCTATTTTGGCTGTGGTGTTGGATCTTGAACTCAGGGCCTTGGACACATGCTCTGCTACTGAGCTGCACCCCATCCTCTTGCAATGAGACTTCTTTATACTTTTCTCTAACTTTAATAACCTTTGAGTCCTTTTTATAACTAAAGAAGGTGATAAGGTCCTGGGGTCCAGGGGAAAAGGAGGGGCTTAAATCCACCGCAGACAAGCGGGTGCATCGCTGGCCTGGTGGACGATGGTGGGGAGGTGGGCACAGTTACCTTTGTGCAGAAGAAGTTTCTAGAACTCACCTCCCAGTAGACGCTGTCCTCAAAGCAGTTCTCATCCGCAGCTTGTCCCCAGAAAGGTAATCTTAGAATGAGCCCTGCAGACAGTAGGTGTCACCAGAGAAGCCAAGCACAGGGATGGGGAGTCCTGGGCACCAGGCTGCCCCTGTGGTGCACCCAGGGGAGCCCCGCAGATGCCGTCCCCCGCTTCTCTGCTGCTCACCCATGACGCTGCCGCCCACCAGGGCTACGGCCAAAGTCAGGAGGAGCCCAAATATCTGGAACTTTCCCTGTGTCTTCGCCGTCCAGTTCTGCTTTAAACCTTCAAAGTCAAAGGAATGGACAAGCCTGGGTGGAGACAGCGGCAGGTCAGGCCTGCGGAGCCAGCAGCCAGCCCCCGTCCTTCTCCTCCCGGGGGGGGGGTTCCCAGCCTCCCCCTCCACTCCACCCCCCGCCCCACACAGTGGGGTCTGGGCAGAGCAGAGGCTCCACCACTCTGGGGCGGGAGGGAGGTGGCGGGCGGAGGGACAGAGGGAGGGCTGTGATCTGGACTGAAGAGGACCCACCGGGGAGGGAAGAGGCGGAGGGAGGAGGAGGGAGGAGGAGGGAGGACCCCTCCCACCCAGTCCACCCTTACCCTGCTTTCCCGTACACGTCGGGCGTGGCGCAGGCCGCGGTCACGGCCCCCACGATGGCCCCCACGATGCCCGGGATGCCGTGCAGGTTGTGGATGCCACACGTGTCCTGGATGCGCAGCCGCGACTCGAGGAACGGCTGGGGAGGGTGTGGAACGGCGGTGACCACCGGGCCCCCCCACCCCCGGGGACCCGGCGCCCAGGCTCCCAGCACCCCCCCGTTCCAGGAGCCCGGAGACTCGGGCCGGCCCTCACCGTCAGAAACTCGAAGCCCAGCGTGGAGAGGCCGCCGCAGAGGCCGCCCACGAGGAGGGCCCCGTAGGGCATGAGCATCATCTCGGCCGCGGTGCCCACGCCCACGCCGCCGGCCAGCGTGGCGTTCTGGATGTGGACCTGGGGGGGGCGGGGTGCTCAGCTCAGCTCCCCCCCCAGCTTGCTTTGGACTTGCACCGCGTGCAAGGTGGTGCGGGGACCCCACGGGGACCCCAGGCGCGTGCCGCGTGGGGACTCTCAGAGTGGCGGAGCGTGAGAGAGCTGCCCCACCCGCCCTCCGCTCACCATGTCCAGCCTGCCCTTCCTGTGCACCGCGCTGGACACGGCCACTGCGGCCAGCACGCTGGCCGCCAGGGAGCAGTAGGTGTTGAGGGCGGCGCGGTGCTGGGCGTCCCCGTGGTAGGACACGGCCGAGTTGAAGCTGGGCCAGTACATCCACAGGAACAGGGTGCCTGGGAGAGGAGTGAGGGGCGCTCGGGATGGGAACCTGGCGCTGGGGGGCCCTGGGGGGGCCCTGGGGTACAGGCCAAGTCCCTGCCCAATGGGCTGAGGGTGCCCCCCCAACCAGGGGATTATCTGAAGGCACCGCCCTCCCTCACCCCTCCTGCTCACCAAGGGTAGGGCTGAGTGCCAACCACCGCTGTGGACCCCACCGCTGTGGCCTGGTCCAGATGCCCACCCAGCACAAGGACCCATGACAGGCAATCTCCCCCTGCCACCCTACTCAAGAGCAACTGGTAGATGCCCGCCGGCCGGGCCAGGGAAGGGGGGAGGGGACGGTGCCCCCCCACTTCCCCCTCCCTGGCTCTCACCAATCATGGCAAAGAGGTCAGAGTGGTACACGGAAGTCTGCCGCCGCTTGCTCTGCTCTAGGTTGCGGCGGTAGAGGATCCAGGTCACCGTGAGCCCGAAGTAGGCGCCGAACGTGTGGATGGTCATGGAGCCTCCCGCGTCCTTGACCTGGGGGCAGGAAGTGGGGCAGTCTGCAGCCTCCCCCTCGCTTCTCATCCATCGCTGTCAAGTCCCTCACACACACACACACACACACATTCACACACACTCACACTCACTCGCACTCACACACACACTCACACACACATTCACACGCAGCTGGTTCTGAGTCCTCAGGACCATCTGGGTGGGGGAAGGGGCATCTCTGAGCCCAAGGGGTAAAGCTCAATGCCAGCCCCCTCAGCCACCCCATGGCACTGGGCACGGCTCCCAGATGGGGAGCCCAGCATGGAGAGGGACTCCCCCAGTCACAGGGCCACTCGTGACAGCCGGTCCCTGGCCTCCTCCTCTTCATTCCCAGCCAGTCTCTTCCCTGTGTCTCCTTTCTCCACATCCCATTTCACACAACCTCGCCAACACCACCCTGCCCAGGCGGCCCGCACCCAGCCCGGACCACACCCCCGCCTGCCCATCCTGTGTCCCCAGTCCTCCACCTCCTAGTGTCCCCACCAGTGGGAGTCCCACTCACCAACAACAGGTTGAGAAGCATAAACTCATTCACCGAGAACAGTGTCACTTGCACGAACGTCATGATGAGTAACTGGACCGGGCTTACTTTGCCCAGGACTGCCCCAAAGGCCACGCAGACAGAGGCCACGCAGAAGTCCGCATTGATGAGGCTGGGGGAGGGGAGACAGGCAGGCGCCCAGGGCTGAACCAGGGAACTGGCAAGAGTTCTACACACGAAAGGGTCATTCATAGAAAAACACGTACGTCTGGAATGCCAGAGTGCCCTTGTTACACGACACAGGGAAAGTGCACCAGGCTCTGTTGGGGCTGGGTGCCGGCTAATTAATGAAGCCAGTGATTGAGGATAAGTAGTCAAAGCAGTTCATAAGCATGGGAAGAAACAGAACAATGAGAGCTACTGAGATTGTTTTAAGAAGTGGGGAGGAACTGGGAGCTGGTGGCTCCTGCCTGTCATCCTAGCTACTCAGGAGCCTGCGATCTGAGGATCATGGTTCAAAGCCAGCTCAGGTAGGAAAATCTGTGAGACTCCTATCTCCAATAAACCACCAGAAAACCAGAAGTGGCGCTGTGGCTCAAGTGGTAGAGTGCTCCCCTTGAGCTGAAGAGCTGAGGGACAGCGCCCAGGCCCAGAGTTTCATGACCCATGCCCAACAAACAAAAACAAAGCAAAACAAAACAAGAAGTGGGGAGGGAGCCAGCAGCTCACACCTGTAATTCTGGCTACTCAGGAGGCTGCCATGTGAGAATGGAAGTTCAAAACCGACCCAGAGGTAGAAGGGGCCAGGAGACTCCTCAGATCCATCCAGGCCCCGCCTTCCACCTCCTCCCAGTGTCCTGCCCAGGGTCCTACCCTACCAAAGACCCTGCCCACAGGCAAGCCCCGCCCAGGGCATGCTAATCCACCCTTCAGGCCCTGCCCCAGTGCCACGCCCACATAAGGCCACGCCCATAACACAAGCCCCACCCTGGGGTATGCTAATCCTCCCTTCAGGCCCTGCCCCAGTGCCATGCCTCACACAAGGCCACGCCCACCACACGAGCCCCACTCCACCATTCAGACCCCGCCCCCAGCCGCGGCCCCGCCCACCTCCTCCCAGCTCCGCCCAGGTCCCCCTTCCTCTCACTTCTCCACGCCCAGCAGGATGTGGCCATCTTTGAAGGAGTGGAACCAGCCCTGCATCAGCAGCGCCCACTGGATGCCGAAGGCCGCCAGCAGGAAGTTGAAGCCCAGGGCGCTGAACCCGTAGCGCTGCAGGAAGGTCATGAGGAAGCCGAAACCCACGAAGACCATGACATGCACGTCCTGGAAGCCTGTGGGGACAGCAGGCGGGGGTCTGGGCCTGGAGCAGGCCTCTGCCCACCCCAGCCCCCCAGGCGGCCTTCAGGAACGGATCAGGGGCCAGCGGGGTCAGGAGCGCCTGCGCCGCCCCCCCATCCAGTGCTCCCTCCACAGGCTGGCAGACCCCGGGGCCCACTGCTGCAGGCCAGACCCCAGCATGCTGAGCCAAGGGCATAGGCCGGAGCCTGGCATGCTGAGGGCTGGGGCACAGGCCGGAGCCCGGCATGCCGTGGGCCGGGGCACAGGCTGTTGGCTCCAGGCAGCACGGGCTCCTGGCCCCGTGGCTGGGTTGTAGGGGAGGCAGAGGAGCCGCGGGCTCGGGTCTGTCAGGGACGCAAGGCCGGCGGATGTCCCTCAGCATCCCGTGCCACGGCCCCACATGGCCAGCGATGGTTGGAAATGGAGCTCGTGTAGGTCAAGCACCGTAAAAGGTATTCTGGTTATTCCGGGAAGAACTGCTGGGTGACAGACTGTGGAGTGGGAGGTGACGCCTCCAGAGGAGAGTTCTAGAAGCAGTGAGGCTGCACGGGCAGAACCACCGGGCCTGGGAAAATGCAGGTGGGAGGGAGGAGCTGGATCCTGGCCTGGCCTTGGCGACCTTGAGATGCCCCCAGGGGATGGGACCGCTGTGCCTGGCTGGGGGGGGCGGCAGGAGGGGCTCCTGGAGGCTGGACAGCTGCAGACACCCGTGGGTTAGAATGTGGGACTGGAGAGATGAGCAGACATGTCTGCGTGTGGACGCCAATGGCCGTGACCAACAAGTGGGGGAGGGATCGCCTAGGGAAAGAGGCCTGGCTTTTCAAAGAGGAGGAGCCACTGCCCGGTGACACAGGGCAGTGCCGGAGGAGCAGGTGGAGCCAAAGGGCAGGAGAGAGGGCGCTGCCATTGGTCTCCCAGTGGCCCCAGAGCAGGTGCATCCTGTACCTCATCCCCCTCCTCCCCGCTGTCCCTTCTGCCCCCAGCTGCCCGCCCCCTGTTGCCCTCCATCTTTGTTCCTCTCTGGACACTGCCCTTTTCTCTCTCCCTGCTCTCCAGCCTCCTCCTGCCTGGACACCGCCCTTTCTCTTCCGCTTCTCAGCAGGTCCTACTCTTAGCATGAAAGGCACCCGGTGAGTTAATTTTCATTCCTTGTGTGAGTCTGCTTGCTGCCTAAAAAGATTGGCCCAGGGCTGGGAAGGTGGCTCAGTGGTAGAGCGCTTGCCTTGCATGTTCAAGGCCCTGGGTTTGATTCCTCAGCACCACATAAGCAAAAAGAAAAAGGCCAGAAGTGGTGCTGTGGCTCAAGTGGTAGAGCGCTAGCCTTGAGCTGAAGAGCTGAGGGACAGCGCCCAGGCCCAGAGTTCAGGCCCCACAACCGGACCCAAAAAAAGAAAAAAAAAAGATTGGCCCAGGATCGACAGCAAAGATGCATGCCAAAGGCCTTCTGCAAAGGATGTGATCTGGCCCTCTGGTCAGACTGCCCCCCCCCCAGTAGTGTGTGAGAAGAGACGCTGGGGGTGCACTCCGAGAGGGACCCCCGTCAAAGCCCCCTGCCGGGCTCTTCAGTGATCACTCAGTGGTGAGTGCTTAGTTCTCTTTTTCCCCTTCAGGACCAACAGGATGCCTCACGGTGAGCTGATGAACTCACTGAGGGTCGGTGGAAGTTGACCCTCACCCACCTCCATGCTGGGGGCTTCCGTGGCCGCCCCCCTGACCCCCAGCCCAGAGCTGCACAACAGGAGGGCAACCTGGCTACCCTTCGCCAGAGGCTCCACTAGGGGGCGTGAGTGCACAGCACTTCTGTGCCCTTCCTTGATGGGTACCCACATCTTCCTGTTGGTAAGGGGCGGTAAGAACTAACTTCCTCTTCCCGCTATAGTCGGGGCCTCTAGGGCCTTTCATTGCCCCCATCCCTGCCACAGAGGAGGCTGAGATGAGGAGGATCATGGTGGGGAAGGCCTGTCTAACAAGCACAGAGCCAAGTCAGCCCAGGAGCCCTACACATACAAACACAGCCCCCAAATCCCACCTTCCTCCACGTAGTTCTGCCTGTGGGTGGTTGTTTGGGGACCTGAGGGAAACTCTAGTTCTGGAGGAAGAGAACGGGACAGGGAGGAGACGCCTGGTGGCCTGGTGGCTGTTGGAGCCACGCTTCAGGTCATGACCACTCGGGCACCAGCAGCTCAGGGAGCTCAGAAAGCCCAGGGTGTGGAAGGAGTCCCCGGTGTGCGGGGGTGACCTTGGACCCGACCTTCTGGTTCCCAGATGGTGAGCACGGAAAGGCAACGGTGCTTCGTGTGCTAGGGTCGGTTGCTGGGTTAGGAAGTGAGTGACTCAGACCTACCACCGTGCCAGAGTTCCGCACACGGTCAGCACAGGTTGGCTTAGGGAGTCCGCACGGGAGACGCTCCCCAGCGGGGCTGCAGCCCAGCCCCACATCCCAAGGCCACACTCTCAGCCCTGGGTACCAGACAGGGCAGGGGAGGCTCCAGGGCCCTCCCCAAGCCTAGAGAGGGGGGGATTACCACAGCCTCCCCACCGGGACCAGGGCCATGCCTCTAGTGAGACCTGCAAGCCACTGACAGAACGTTCCCTTGGCTCACACCTGTCATCCTAGCTACCCAGGAGGCTGAGATCTGAGGATCACACTTTGAAGCTAGCCAAGGTCAGGAAACTCTCTCTGGGACTGTTTTTTTTTGGGGGGGGGTCCGGTCATGGGGCCTGAACTCTGGGCCTGGGCGCTGTCCCTCAGCTCTTCAGCTCAAGGCTAGCGCTCTACCACTTGAGC